GTACAGTGGCTTGTCTGGGAACACTCCCGGACAAGGTTGCATGCCATTTTCAGGGTCTCGGTTTGGGCTAGAGCGTCTGCTACCGCTGATTCCAAGTAGAAGGCGATAAGGATGCCCACTTTCGTCCTCTTAGATTTGGACATCAGCCATGACGCTCCGATTGGTTCGGGTATGGATGGAGCTGTAAGGCTTTTCAGGAGGGTTTCGGTTGTCTGAACCGGAGAATGGAATTTAGGGAAACTACCCCAAATTATATTCCGTTTTGCGCTAATGGCCGATGATTCTAGTTTGACTGCCGTTTCGACAATGTGATCGCCTGGCCTGCGGCCGCACATGTTGGGAAGTTATCCTTAAATAACGCTGTCATGTGACTTATGTCGTAATCTAGTGCCGCGACGTTTTCACGCAGTTCGCGTATGATCGATCCTTGCATGTCAAAGGTGACTACAGCCGCCTCTAGCGCTATTTGGGTGCTAGCCCAGTGGCTGGTTTAAGACACCTCATGTGGCATGGGAGTTTCCCGCATGGGTAAAGTGTCCTCGTTGGAGGACTCAGAGAGCTCAGAATACATGGTTAAAGAGTAGGGGTACTAGTGAAATATAAATCGGAAGGGAATAAGATGGAATAGTGTTAGTTTAAGGTAGTCGCAATTAAGGATATATGCAATGCTGTTCAGATAAATACTTATAAAAACGTAAAAAGGCGAACTTATTGAGCCACGACAGATTTTCAACCGCGCGCGGTCGGAGGGGCTGAATATATGGCTTCTAGCGTGACCCATTTGATGGTGTTTCTAGGGACAATCGGGAAATAGTGTGTCCCAAGATGCGCCAAGCATCTTTTTCAGGGCGTACACACTGCCACAGCTGGTTATCTCATTTGTCAGTTTGTTCTACCTGTTGATGGTACGTAGCGAGAAGAAGCTGGCCCTGATGGTTATGTATACCCTTGGTTTCTTCAGTTTGAGGCTGTGGCCACGCCTTTTCTGGTCCCCGCCTAGCTCAAAGAGATGTCTCGTACCTTGCGAGTAACCCTTTAGGATTCTAAAAGTTTCAATGTATTTTAGTCTCCTTAGGAGAGGGAACATCCGCGTAAAGCGGCAGTAAACCTTCTCCAGTATCAGTTTATCCCCCACTAATAGTGGTGCCCGCGCTCAGACACAGTACTCTAAAAGGGTTCGTACAAAAGCTTGGTACAAAGGAACAAGGACCTCTGGGTCTCTAGGGAATGCCGTTCTGCGCAACCGGTACAGTGATGCATTTACTCTGTGAGCATCTATGGATCACTGGCGTGAGGATGAGAACGTGGAATTTACGGTAATCCCAAGATTCCTCACCTCAGTGTTTAGTTAGATTGCTATGCCTGCAAAATCCCACGGGTACTAAAGACTACCCACCGTCCCTCCCGTGCACAGAGGCATGCACTTGCCGCTGTTCATAGGCAGGCTTCATTCTGTAGTCCATGTATATATCCTGTTCAGGTCCCTTTGCAACCCTTGGTTGTCAGGAGAGGTTAAGATTTTGGCATCAACGGAATAAAAGAACAGTGGGTTTACCACACACTGTGCCAAGTCGTTAACGAAGACCAAGAACAACAACGGTCCAAGGACGGAGCCTTGAGGCACTCCGCTGTTCACTTTTCCTCCCTCAGAAAGTTTTCTTTCTACTCTGACTTGGAAGGTGTGGCTTACCAGGTAACTCCGCAGCCAACTTTGGAGTTCGGGGTGCACTCCTAACTGCGACAGTTTCAGCAGGAGTAGTCTGTGGCTCGCTGAGTCGAAGGCATTCGTAAAATCTAGATGGTACACCTCAACACGTTCACCTCTGTCGAGCCTGTCCGTCAATGCATCCAAGTGGGCCAACAGGTTCGTTAGACAGGACCTACCCCGTCTGAACTCATACTGAGCTTCCGTCAGTAAGTTGTCCGATGTAAAATGACTAGTCATTTTGTCACGAATCACCCTCTAAATAACCTTTAGTACTACTGCAAGCAAGCTCACTGGTCTATAGTTTGAGGCGACATTTCTGTCGCCCCCCTTATAGATGGGGGTGACCATGGCCGCTTTCCAGTCACTTGGGAGGGTGGCTGTCTCGAATGACTTGGTAAATAGGCTGGCTAACGGGTGTGCTAAGATACCCTCGAATGGTTTTATAATCGCCTGGTGTATGTCATCTGGGCCAGCAAATTTGTTTCTGTCTAACACTCCGACATTTCTTTCTCCATCCCGTGGTTCGATTATAAGTTTATCCATAGGGCACCCCGTCATGATACTGAGTGCCGGCGGGTTATTGCCCAGGTTCACAGTGTACGACTCTTCGAAATGATGTTGTAGAGCGGAAGCCTTTTCTAGGCCATTGAGCGTTGATTTGCCATCGTCGTCGCGGATGCATCCGATAGCTTCCCTAGTCGCCGCTCTGGACTGTATATAACCGTAATAAGCTTTTGGGCACGTCTTACTCTTCTTTGCCAGTATGAACTCGTAGCACTTCTTTGAATCCGACTGGGCCCTGTCGTAGATCTTGCGCTCCTCTACGCACTGAAGGTATCTCGAGTGGCCATTGGTGGTGATGAACCTCTTCCAGGCTGCCCGCTTCAGACTCAGTAATTCAGCTAACCGTCGAGACCACCACCGTGGCTTATTGGGTCGACCATGCAAACGCAATGGTGCAAAGGAGTCGGTCAATGAGATGAGGTTCGTTCTGATTCGGTCCCAAGCCTCGTGGACATCAGTGGCTTTCTCCGGCCACTGGAGCTGTGACGCGACCAGTGTCTAACGCTCTTTAGCAGCACCTGCCTTGGAGCGCGTAGACGACAGGCGTTTCGGAAACGAATAGTCGCGTGATCACTACTACCTTGCGGTGATCCCAGTTCTAAGTTCAC